AACCATTGCTTGCACAGCTAAATAGTTATAAGTATTATTTCTTTGTAAATATAGTCAACGAATGGAATAATCTACCTTAAGACGTGGCGTAGGCAGAAACTCTGAACATTTTAAAGAACAGACTCAGATGCCATTTTACTGATGTTTTAGGAAATTTCTGAACTATTTTATTGTGAATTCTATCGGAAGTAACTTTGTGTTTTTGATTATTTTAGGAGACAAACTTGAAAGGGATAATCTCTTTTGTTTCCTTTTCATCTTTCATTTGTATTTGAATTGTAAATAAACAGTTATGTAACCTAGACTACTCCCTTTGCCATCACTGACCCTTTAACTCCCATGGGTGACCAAGACAGAATTTCTCCTTACAATATCAATACAATATCAGCCAGATGAGTGATGAGAATAAAGAAAAATATCAATTTGGGGATATTTAGTGAATCCAATACTAAATTTTCTGAACTTACATCATAAGATTTGTATAATTAACAGTAAGGAGAGTAAAAAATTTGATCTGGGAGTTAAGAAAAAGTCTCAGTAAGAATCAAACATCTTGGGAAATTAAAATTTTCAACCCTCCTTCAAATTTTTCTTGCAGTTAGGCACTCAGGGGGGATGCACAAAAATGCCCTTTTTAAGGGTCGCAGCATTCTTGTTGCCATTTTAACAACGGCTGCTTGTTCGGGGCTTGAGGCCTCCTTTTCATACAAAAACGTCGCAAGAATAGAGTGAAATGTTTATTTCTCTATGTCAAGCTAAATACGACATTACAAATTGGCACTTCTACCATTCATAGTAACATCATTTGTCTTCACTTTGATACATTTTATTTTCCCTGGGAGTGAATGTGGACACACCAATAGATTATTCATCATTTTTGTTGTCGGGTAAAACAGGGAAAACGTTTATCTGAATTTCTCCAAAAGTACACCGTTTCTGGAACTGAACCACCCACGTAGCTGGTTATAATATTCTAGTTTTTAAATATGTAAAAATCTCTACGGGCCTGCCTCTATTTTTTATAGGGGCAATTAGTGGAAAAAGCTCAAAATCTGATATTGCATAATTTGGCAATGTTTACATCTAATGTTCTCAACAACAAACGTTTCAGATAAGTGAAACGTGCGAGGCTTTGAAAGAATGTTATCTTATGAGCAATATCCCGAAGAGAAATCTCGCCTCTGGTTGTCATCTTTTAAAAAAATTGATCAACCTTCATGGAGGACAACTCGACGTAACTACAAACATATACCTCAAATCATGTGCCTATCATGCAGATAGTACTGCACTAATCCAGAGTGCTGTACCTTCTTTCATGGTAATTTGAGCAATCCGAAGTCCTCTGAAGGTACACTGTTATACTTGTATGTCATTTAAAACATGTCAAAGTCGGCGGATCTATACGAAATTTTTACATATTTAAAAACTAGAATATGATAACCAGGTAGATGGGTAGTTTCAGTTCCAGAATCGGTGTATTTTTGGAGAAATTCAGAGAAACGTTTTCCCTGTTTTACACGACAAAAATTGAGTGAATCAGTGAATGATGATGTTACTATGTATGGAAGAAGTGCCATTTGTAATGTTGTATTTAGCTTGAGGTAGAGAAATAAATATTTCACTCTATTTTGCGATGTTTTTGTATGAAAAGGAGGCCCCAGGCCTCGAACAAGCAGTCGTTGTTACCATGGCAACAAGAGTGCTGCGACCTTTTAAAAGGCATTTTTGTGCATCCCCTTGAGTGCCTAACTACGTGCAAAATTTGAAGGGGGGTTGAAAATTTTCATTTCCCAAGATGTTTGATTCTTACAGAGACTTGTTCCTAAAGGGTTAATCATTGTCAGGGTGTGACCCTTTTCCTGTGTGACTAAGAATTCTTTCAATTACTTCATTTTTGGAAAATTTAACCCCAATCTTCGACCTTTTCCCGTGGAAAAACTTATGAAAAATAAACCAAATTTATGTAATTCTTTTTGGTGATTGAGATCGAAGCGTAGAATTAGTTAACCTGTGCACGTGTCGGAAGACTTAGGACACATTTATCCAAGAACAACTTGCACATAAAATTTGTCCCTGATTTGTGACGTTTTCAGAGCACTTATTTCTTGATTAAACAGTCTGGCAAAACTTCGACTATTATTGTTTCTGTTCTTCATGCTTTTTTTACAAAAGGGATCGCTTGTTATTTATCACCAATAATGGGTAGAGGGTTGGGGGTCGATGGATTTTGGTTGTGTCACAATAACCTTTTTGTTTCACTTGCTTCATGCCAGCATTAGAATTTTCGCGTATAATTTAATGACAACTTAACTAAAAGGCTTTATAGGGTACATGCCTTAAAAAAAGGTGACTAGTTTGAGATGGCGAAAAGTGAGTGAGATGGTGTCTCTAATTTGCCACATAGTAGACTATACTAGGGTAGAAATTCTATGAGGCCTGCAGCACATACCAAGAAAAATGCATCTTCCAAGTACCCCCTTCCCCCATCCCCCTCCCCTGTGTTCGTGAGCCATTATTGTTTTGTTCAAAACAAACTGTCGTCCATTATTCATCCCAAATTGAAAAGTATGTCGATAAGCAATCAAAAGCATCGCCCTCAAAAAATCACCGATTCGTAAAGGTTGCTGATAAATAGTTTCCCGATTAAGAAGATGAATGACCTGTAGACATCTGTCTCATATCTTAGGGAAGAGGAACTCAAATGAAATACTTAAAGACATACAGTGACTCAGGGTAGACTCGATGGCACAAAAATGTAAAAGAGATGCAAGAGCACTCCTTGTCACGAACGAAAGGGGGTTATAATTTGCATGGATCATGCACCGCGCCGTGGGTCAGGTAGGATGGACTTTGAAGAGCTGTATCCGCTGTTTATGGCAAAATATACTATTGCAAAATCCTATTGTGTACGCCCAATCATCAGAAACGATTAATTTGGGCACAGTATCTGTCTTCCTCTGTTATGATTGTCATGGATACAAATCAGAGTTAATCACAA